GAGAGAGAGAGAGAGGGGGGGGGTCACATCACAGTGGAGTCATTAATCTTAACCGTGGCTTGTGTACTGCAAACACATACCAGCTTCATCACTGTGTCTGTCACGCGACTCTGTTCCCCTTTCGGGCTCTGTCTTTACATTTATTTTGAAAGATGAAGCTCGCGATTATGGTAAGGGGCGTTACATTTCCGACGAGTGCTTGCGGTGTTCGGCCAATCACAATGCACTGGGTCAGCTGGCCAATCAGAGCAGACTGCGCTTGTCGGAAGGAGGGACTTTGTAGAAAACGAAGCGTTTGAGAGAGGCGGGGCATAGAGGACCTACAATAATGTACAGTATTTGAAAAATAATGTGTTTTTTTAACATTAAAGCATGTCAACATATTCTGTTACACCAAATACACAAAATAATGATCTTTAAAAAAGCATCATATGACCCCTTTAACCAAAAGATGCATTTAGACTGAAGTTTGTGTATAATCCAGGTATATACTTTGAACAGAAGTTATTAACATGTCTGAGAAACTTCCTCTGCAACTCCCATGTAGGTTCATCTAATTCCTGATGCTAAAGATTTTATTATATTCTGAAAAACTGATTGGAGGGAATCATTATTTTTTTTATGTGCTTTAAAAATGTTGTAATAAAACTCTACTAAGTGCTTAGGATTTGTGGGTAATACAATAATAGCTTATCCAGATATCCATTTATAACCCCTTCTTAGAGGGGGTTGAGGGTCACTACTGGAATGCTTCATTACTTTGTTTCTTTATTTGCTTTTTATTGCAGCACAGAGATTCATAACAAAGCATAAGGTATTTTTCCTTGTTTTCTTATTGTAGGGGACCGGAGGACACATGTTTTGAGGGCGGTGTGTTCCCTGCCATCCTCAGTTTCCCTTCAGACTACCCCCTCAGCCCTCCCAAGATGAGGTTCACCTGTGACATGTTTCATCCGAACAGTTAGTGCTACAAACACTCAGCATTCACACAGTGTGTGTGAGGTTTAGTGACTCAAATACACATGGATGTTAGACTGCTATGATGTACTTTAATTCATTTAAATTTTAACCCATTTTAATGTCAAGTTTCTTGATGCAGTTATTTATGCAGCTACAAAATATTCATATTTAGATTAGAAATAGTTTTATTATTATATAAGTAATTTGTATGGTAATTGGATAATATAGAATGTTCATTCAGTGTTTTCATCAGCCTTGATTTCCACTTGTTACGCTTATAACATGCATTGAAAACACACAATATTTTCACAATTAAATCTAATCATTTTAAACCCTGCAAGTTATTATATATAAATCAAATAACGCAACACCGAAAAGGAAATGTTAGCATTTGGGGTGCACATTAAACAGTGAAACTCAAGTTTTTCACCAAAATAAATGCTTGAAATTTTTTATTTAAAACAATTCGGGAAATTAGTTTAAAAATTATATTATATTATATTATATTATAGACTTACAAAAAAAAAATGCTGTTCTTTTCAACTTCCTATTCATTAAAAATGCTGAAAAGTATCAGAGTTTCCACAGAAATATTAAGCAGCACAACTGTTTTCAAAATTGATAATAATAAGAAATGCTTCTTGAGCAGCAAATCAGCATATTAGAATGATATCTGAAGGATCATGTGACAGTGAAGACTGGAGTATGATGCTGAAAATTTAGCTTTGCCCTCACAGGAATAAATTACATATTTAAAAAAAATATATGAAATATATGATATTTTAAATTGTAATAATATGTCACAAAAATGACTATTTTTAAACTGTATTTTTGATCAAATATATGCAGCCTTGGTGCGCATAAGAGAAAAAAATAAAATTAAAAATGATCATTTGTTTAATTTTAGTGGTAGTGTACAAGAGTGCAATGAAAGATCTTGCATGTAATATATTGTATAACCCTTCCTGTGCATTTATTGGATATTTAACAATCACTCTGCAGGTGAAACTATCCACATTATGATTTGCAGTGTTAGGGGAGCCTCCAGGAGCAAGAACACCTTTCTAATGCATTTATAGTCCTTAGACATAGAGGAGGATAGACTAATCGGAGTCCTAAAGTGTCTTTATGATCTGCTGGTGGATGTGTGGACACAGTGTTCAGGGAAGTGGGCCCAGATAAAGGTCTTCCTGCAGGCCTCAGATAGCAGCAGAGCAGCCTACAGTCCTCTGATGGTGCCGGGGCTCTGGAGGCGGTTATCAGAGCTGGACGGCTCAGATTCTGATCACTGTCCTCAGCTGTGGAGAGAATGAGGAGATAACATCAGCCGTGATATCGTGCGGGGGTGGATTCATTCAGCTCTGATCCAGGGTTAAGAAACTTGTGTCCCATACACTCACTCTAACAAAGGATTACTTGATTGCTTTGTGTGTCTTTAGAAGGGAAACCAATCACGGGTCAGTGCTCATGGAACTAACACTTTAATTGATTAATTGATTTCGCAGATTAATCAGCATGTTCTTTTGATGCTTTAAGGATCCTAACATCTGTTCGTAATGGCTGATTCAACTGTTTTTAATCCAATTTTGGCATTTTTTAGCTAATTGGGAAAGTAGTTCATTCTGTGGGATGAAATGCAGTGAACTGAACCAGCCAGTTCGTTCCCGACCTCGACATAAAAAGAGTCACATTCAAAAATGCAGATATAATCAAATCAAAAGTTTCTTCAAATGTATTCAGTCAACCGACAATTAAAACAGACAGTAAAAATGTCTAGAGGATAAATGAAAAAAGGGAACAGAAATGAACAGAACTATTGCAGAACTTTATAAATAGCGTTTATGGTGTGCTTTCTGCAGTCTACCCAGACGGCCGTGTGTGTATCTCAATCCTGCACGCTCCTGGTGACGACCCCATGGGCTATGAGAGCAGTGCTGAGAGGTGGAGTCCCGTGCAGAGCGTGGAGAAGATCCTGCTGTCTGTGGTCAGCATGCTCGCTGGTCAGTCACTGTTCACTCCATCTTCAGTGAACTCCCAGCTCCAAAAGTGGCTCCTGGAATCAAGAAGCATCAATATTAGTTTGGAATGTTTGAATTTTATTATAGTTTAATAATAATTTTCTCTCTGGAATGGGAAAAATACAGTTAAGACAATCTAGTTTTTCAAAGTTTTGGGTCAGTAAGATTTTAATTATAAAAGTTTTTTTTTTTTTAATATTTGTAAAGAAATTTGTGGTATGGGATTTTTGTCCAGTGAGTTTTCACAGTGGGTGGAGTTACCCAGCATGGCAAAAGAAAAGTAAGGACGGTCATGACTGATTTCCTTCATCTCCATGTCCACGTCCACATTGGACCCTAAAATGCCATTGACATCATTTACATGTTCCACGTTCTGCCTAAAATCAATTTTTGCTTTTTAACAACAAAAGTAATAGGTTTAATAATAATTTTCTCTCTGGAATGGGGAAAATACAGTTAAGACAATCTAGTTTTTCAAAGTTTTGGGTCAGTAAGATTTTAATTATAAAAGTTTTTTTTTTTTAAATATTTGTAAAGAAATTTGTGGTATGGGATTTTTGTCCAGTGAGTTTTCACAGTGGGTGGAGTTACCCAGCATGGCAAAAGAAAAGTAAGGACGGTCATGACTGATTTCCTTCATCTCCATGTCCACGTCCACATTGGACCCTAAAATGCCATTGACATCATTTACATGTTCCACGTTCTGCCTAAAATCAATTTTTGCTTTTTAACAACAAAAGTAATATAGAGTCTGACCACTGAGACAGTGAGGAATTTTTGAGAATTAGTGTGGTAGTAAATCCTAGATCTTGGAATGTTTTAATGCCTTGTATAATTTACATCCTATGCATGCTTGTCTTTAAATAATTGTAAATATCATCTACTCCGACAGAGCCCAATGATGAGAGCGGAGCAAACGTGGACGCCTCGAAGATGTGGCGTGAGGACAGAGAGCAGTTCAACCGACTAGCTAAGCAGATCGTGCGCAGATCTCTGGACCTCTGACTTTCCTGTGTACAGACACACTCTCACACTCCAGGGCAGTGAGGACTGACGTTTACAAGGATTCAAACTCCCGACGAAAGAGAAGAGTGTCTGTGCTGAGTGTTGTAGTGTACTGCCCCCCCCCCCCCCCCCCCCCCCACAAAACAATTAAAACAGACAGTAAAAATGTCTAGAGGATAAATGAAAAAAGGGAACAGAAATGAACAGAACTATTGCAGAACTTTATAAATAGCGTTTATGGTGTGCTTTCTGCAGTCTACCCAGACGGCCGTGTGTGTATCTCAATCCTGCACGCTCCTGGTGACGACCCCATGGGGTATGAGAGCAGTGCTGAGAGGTGGAGTCCTGTGCAGAGCGTGGAGAAGATCCTGCTGTCTGTGGTCAGCATGCTCGCTGGTCAGTCACTGTTCACTCCATCTTCAGTGAACTCCCAGCTCCAAAAGTGGCTCCTGGAATCAAGAAGCATCAATATTAGTTTGGAATGTTTGAATTTTATTATAGTTTAATAATAATTTTCTCTCTGGAATGGGGAAAATACAGTTAAGACAATCTAGTTTTTCAAAGTTTTGGGTCAGTAAGATTTTAATTATAAAAGTTTTTTTTTTTTAAATATTTGTAAAGAAATTTGTGGTATGGGATTTTTGTCCAGTGAGTTTTCACAGTGGGTGGAGTTACCCAGCATGGCAAAAGAAAAGTAAGGACGGTCATGACTGATTTCCTTCATCTCCATGTCCACGTCCACATTGGACCCTAAAATGCCATTGACATCATTTACATGTTCCACGTTCTGCCTAAAATCAATTTTTGCTTTTTAACAACAAAAGTAATATAGAGTCTGACCACTGAGACAGTGAGGAATTTTTGAGAATTAGTGTGGTAGTAAATCCTAGATCTTGAATGTTTTAATGCCTTGTATAATTTACATCCTATGCATGCTTGTCTTTAAATAATTGTGAATATCATCTACTCCGACAGAGCCCAATGATGAGAGCGGAGCAAACGTGGACGCCTCGAAGATGTGGCGTGAGGACAGAGAGCAGTTCAACCGACTAGCTAAGCAGATCGTGCGCAGATCTCTGGACCTCTGACTTTCCTGTGTACAGACACACTCTCACACTCCAGGGCAGTGAGGACTGACGTTTACAAGGATTCAAACTCCCGACGAAAGAGAAGAGTGTCTGTGCTGAGTGTTGTAGTGTACTGCCCCCCCCCCCCCCCCCCCCCCCCC